CTCCCGACCCATCTAAACCCCTCTGCTCCCTGTCCCATTGACTGCTCCGATCCCTCTCCCCACTCCTGCCCCCTGACAGCCCCCCACAACTCCAAACCCCCCCCCTCGCTCCTTGTCCCCTGACTGCCCCCTCCTGGGACCCATGCTCCTAACTGCCCTCCAGAACCCCACCCCCTACCAAAGCCTCCCTGTTCCTTGTCCTCTAACTGTCCCCTCCTGAGACCCCCCACCCTAACTGCCCCCCCGGACCCTACCCCCTACCTGTACCCTGACTGCCCAAAACCTTATCCATCCCCCCCAGAAAGCCCCCCCCCGAACTCTTGACTGCCCCCCTCCAGAACCTCCCTGCCCCTTCTCCAACCCCCAGCCCCCTTACCCTGCTGCTCAGACCAGTGTGCCGGGGAGGAGGAGCAGGGGGAGGAGCTCCAGACTGCCGGTGCGAACGGCTGGCTGGTGACCTGCGAATGCAGGGAGGGAGGGAGAGCTCTCAGCTGCAGGGGAGAGGAGGGGGAAGTGGAGGAGGGGCTCTCTCTGGCTGTCGGAGCCCCATGTAAGTGGCACCATCTGGCCGGCTGCCCTGTTAGCCGCGCGCGCTCTGCATGGGGGGGGAGGGAAGTCCGGACATTTACAAATTCCCCCCGGAAGCTATTTTTAACTCTAAAAGCCGGACATGTCCGGGGGAATCCGGACGAATGGTAACCCTATATTATTCAGTCCAATGGGCATTACCATGCATTTGTCAACTCTTGATGAGTCCTATTCTGATACTCCCCTTGCTATTAGGAAGTAACATTTTACTCCATAAGAGTAAGGGTGACAGAATATGACCCTTAACTTTGTTAGGTCTGTCTGGAGTTCTTCAGTCTTCTCTATTCTTAACGAGGGTGACCATATTTCCCTATGTTGGACACGGGACACTGGTAAAATTACTCTTATTCAAGTGAGCTCAATGGCAATCAATCAGAACTAATCAGTACAAACATTTAAATTAACATCAGGTTGACTGAGTCCCTGTTAAAAAGAAATACTGCTTAATTTGATTCTTTTTATTTACCATCTTATCTTTAAGGCTCACATGGGGAGAGGTGACACACCCTCCCATACAACTCTCTCGTATGGGGAGGGTGGGACCGACTAACCCGACGCTCCCTGCCTGGCGCTCTCTGCCATCTGTACCTGGCTGGTCCCCTGGGACAGACCCACTTCTTCTGGTACCTGGTGCTGCATCTTCCCAAGGCAACACGTGCGGGGGGGGGGGAACGAAGGGTCACATGCCCCCCCTCCACAGATGTCTGCCAGGGTTCACACCAGAATGTGGCCAGCAGCAGCCTTTCGCACTGTGCGGGAAGGAAGGGACAGGAGCTGCTTCCAGACACGAGGTGGGGAGGGATGACCTGGCCCATGTCTTTGCAGAACTCATCTCTTCCCACCCCCTTGCTCCCCTGTGGCTAGAAGCAGCTTGTCCCTTCCTGCCCACACAGTGTTGAAAGGCAGCGGACACCTCCACTGCCTGTCCCTTGACTACAGTGCGGGCAGGAAGACGTTAAGCCCTAAAGATGCATTGTGCACCAGGGCCCAGGGACTGCAGGGGCTTCAACGAACCCAGAGAGGTGGCTCAGCAGGGGAGGGTGCCATGGGGACGGAGCGGGTGAAGACAGTGCTAAGCTCCTGCCTGGAGCACTACTGTGGAGCCTGCAGAGTCGGGGTGGGAACAGGCTGGAAATCACTTCTCTCCGCCCCCCCCCACCACTCCAGAGATTACCTGAGGGGCAGGGAGGCTTCCCTCTGCCAGCGCTGTGCAGGGCTTTGGCACATGCAGGGCTCGGCTCCTCCTGGCCAGCGCCCCGGGCTGGAGGGTCTTGGGCTTTCCTGGGATGCCGACCCAGATAGGCAGTGGGGGAAGGAAGGAGCCTGATGGCCAGGCTGTTGGTGAGCTGAGCGCTCCAACCAAGGGCTGGTTCTCCGCACAGCGCTGGGAGCAGGATACACCCTGCCAGGGGGGACGTGGAGGAGCAGTGGAGCTAGGGGGGTGAAGAGGAAATGCAGGGAGAGGACAAAGAGAGGGGGAGCAAGTAAAGGGCTGATGGGAGGGCAGCACAGGCGACATGTAACTGGCTGCTGCCTGATGCCTGCCCGCACTCACCAGCCACCGCAGCTCACAGCGCGCAGCAAGTGCTGGCCGGAAACAGGACGGGGGCGGGCCCTTCTGGCTGAGAGCTGGCATGCAGTGGGGGCTATGCTGATGGACAAGCAAGGGGAGTGTTCGGTCCCGTGAGTGGCAGCTTTGCCCTGCCACCAGCCTTGCACCCCCTCCCCCATCGTCGGCCACTGGACCCTCCTCCCCACTCACCACTGATGGGCGGGCGGGCGGCTGATGAGTGGGGATGTGGCTAGCAGCAGGACCCACCAGTACTGATGGCAGGGGGAGACAGAAAATATGGGACAATTTGCCTGTTTTTAAGTGTAACCCTTCTGCCCATCTAAGTTGGCAGCAACAAGGGCCGGGTTCTGTATCTAGGGGTTCCGTTTCAATAATGCAATGCAAAACCGGCTCGACCCCCCCACCCAGTGACCTGGAACAATTACATACCACCCTCTGGGTGCCTCTAAGAGGCAATACTTCCCCTCTCGCAAGCACAGAGTCTGAGTGTAGCAGAAAATGTTTAATAACATGAAGTAAACGACATCAGCATTAAATTGGAAAAAACACTACAAACAGGGTTCCTAACACCATAAGCAAAAGACCCACCCCAAATTGGGCCGTGTCCTTTCCCTTTGGTTCTTGAATCCAGCAACCCAAAAATCACCCAGAGTCCTCAAAGTCCAATACCCCCAAAGTCTCTTGGGTCCAGCAACCACCCAAAGTCCCAAAAGTCCAACAACCCCCAAAGTCTCTGTCCCTGGTCAGTGCAGCACCAGAGTAAAAGGGGGGCACTCAGGGTGTTATGGTGCACCTTATGTGATCAGAGGCTGACCGGCCGTCTCTCCGTGGGGTTCCGCCACAGCCTTCACCACGAGCCAGTCCACTTCCTGCCGTCCCATGAACTGCTCTGCTCTACGAGCTGCTCCGCTCTGCTCCCCAACCTGTGAGCCACTCCAGCTGTCCCCGCAAACGGCTCTGCTCGCCTTTCCTTGGGCCGCTCCAACCGCCCCTGCAAGGCTCTGCACCGCTTGCTGCTCCGCCAGCCGCTTAGCAATATAGCTTCAGGCTCCCCCAATAGTTAATACAGCACTCAGTGATCTCAGCTCTTACTAACTTTAGCTTTTATGTGATTTTAGCTTCTCTGTGATTTCAGCTTGTAGTAGGGGAGCCCCAGTGCTGGTGCACCATTGGCTCAACGTGAATTCAGCTCAGCAGCCTGTAACTAGACTCCTAATGGAATCAAAGTTAGCTCTGACATTCAACAGTGGAGAGAGGAGATGGTGCAATTGGTGTTTCAGGCCCTCAAAGGGGGCCCATACCATCAGGTATACATACCTGTCCCATCCTCTTTCAATTCACTGGGTTGTGGAACCCATGTCCCTTGTCTAGCAAGAGCTACTTAGGTGATGGTGAGACCCTCTGTCATAAAACAGTTTCATTGTCCTTGATTCACATAATCAGGGTAACAATACTTTATTCCTCCTGCCCCAATAACAGAGAAACTGGGGATCCCACCCCATCCAAAGTAACCACTATCAGTTGCTGTTGTCTCATGCCAGGCGGGTGGGTGTGCCTAAGCAAACAAGATCAGCCCCTGGAGTTCTTTTCCACACATAATTCACCACCAGATGTCAGGGTAGAGCTCAGCCTGACTCTGCTTACATAAGAAAAAATTGGAAGACCTCCAGGAGGGCTTAAATATGGGACTGTCCCTTTAAAAATGGGACATCTGGTCACCCTAGTCTTAACTAATGTATATAATCCTGTCACCGCAACAAGCTTTCCGGTCTCACTGCTCATCACCATTTTTCAGATCACTGATCTAGATATATTAGACAGCACACTGGTAGGATGGGACCTTGGGGCACCACCTTGTCAATCTTTTGCCAAGTTGAAAATTGATGTATTATTCTTTGTCACTTTTCTCTTAGTATGGGTGGCAGAATCTGGCCGTAATGTGTAGTATCTCACTCAAGAAGTAATGACAGTGATTTCAACGGGACTACTCATGATGTAGAGTACTACTCAGCATAGGGTTTTTTTATCTATGGGAAAAGGTAATAAAATTATACTACAAATAAGGATAAAATGTCTAACAGTAATAATGCCTAGCCCTTATACAGAACTTTACAAACGTGAACTATTTAATTCTCCCTACACCCTTATAGCTAGATACTGTAAGTCAGGGGTGTGCACAGGAATAAAATTTTGGCTGCTTTTGGAGGGGCATGTTCTGTGCCCCCCATAGCCAAAGAAGCTGGCTCCCCCCGCCACCCCTCCCACGGACAGAGGAGCTGGCTGTCCCCCTTCTCCCCCATGGCCAGAGGATCTGGTTCTCCCCAGGTGGCCACAGGGATGGTGGAGCTGTCGTCTCCTGCCCTGGCCCGGGACTGGAGGAGCTCGGTCTCCTCGACTGGTCCTGCAGGAGTTCTGTTCCCCCACTTATTGGGGGGGGCGTGCTCCTGCTTGCCCCTCCTTGTGCATACCCCTACTGTAAGTATAATTATTTCCTTTTTTTCAGACAAGTTAAATGAGATTGAAGTTACATGATTTACCTAAAGCCAGAGAGTAAGTCAGTAGCAGAGTTGAGATCCAGAAGTTCTTAGCATCTAGTCCTGTTCTTGGACCGTGAGTCCATGCCTCTTCCTTTACATGAGTGTCCAAATCGATCTCAGCTCAGTCTTATAATGGCCTCTTGCTCTATAGACTGAGAAGAGGGTTGGGGCAGGAGGGGTTATGGAGATAGTACATTTAACCCCAGAGAAAAAGAATTATACCTTAGATTGACAAAGTTTAGCAGTAGATTTCACCCTCTTTATGAGGAGCAAGACTTATAGACCAAGGACAAAGAACATGGTAGCTTTGAGAGGCTGACTTGTCTGGTAAACAGTTTATTTTAGCTCTACAAAAATAAATTCAGATATGTAAATGGAGGTTGTCTGGAGCCAGCTCTAAGTTGTGTTCTGGACGTCTATGCAAGGATTTATTACAGTGATTACTGAGCTACTTCCATAGAAAAGTAGCAATTACCACGACAACCCTGAAATTAAATGACACACACAAGTAGAGCTACACTCTAAGAGTAAAATAAACCCAGTCGGAACAGTAACCATGGGCTAGAGTGTCCTTTCCTGTGGACAGACCTGCAGGAGGGGAACAGACTGGCCAGGAAACAGGAAGTTTAATCTCAAGAGTTTTCAAGTAATCAATTTTCAGGTGGGAGAGGCTTGGCATATGGAACCTTGTGATTCGTGAGCGAAGCATGCCCTATTCCCAGAGATGCCAGGGTGTCCACGTGTGGGGTTGTCTCTTCTGCACTGTTCTGCTTGCCTTCCCTTTCCCTTTCCCTTTCCCTTTCCCTTTCCCTTGATAGAACTTTTCTTGCAGTAGCAGTAAGTAACTCCTGATCAGATTTACAACTGAAAAATCACAAAGTGAGCAGGAGTCAGTGCTGCAGAAAGCAGTTGGTCTCCTGCTCCACCCCTTCCCACCGTGTCTGCACCCACACAGTCTCCTGATCCTGCAGCGCTCCAGTTAGGAAACTTCCCTGGGATGGAAGGAAATGGGGGATACTGTAGGGGAGCAGACCTTTCCCCACTTCCCTAAGTGAGATCTGCTAGATCTCAGGCCCCTCTGCTTATGGAAGAAGAAGGGATGACCAGTGCTATGTAACATAATATCCTACAGTACACACACACACACACACACACACACACACACACACAGAATAGCTTTGAGCCCTGTTCTTTATTTTCTATTCTCAATCTTAAGCATTAACTACACTTTCATTCATCATAGGGCACAGTGTGTTTACTTCTCTCAGCCGCTAGCAAGTAACTCATTCCCAGCTGTATCCCTGAAGGTCAGTGTGGGGAGTTCACATGAACTTCAGGGAAACAATTATTTTCTTATAATCTTGGTGATGGAAGGAAAGTGGAAATTTTGGAGCGCCCCTAGTTATTTCTCCTTTCCTGACGGTAGCCTTTGTTTAAATCTAAAGTTTAACCAGGAACAGTTTTTGGCCTGAAAGTGGATGCTCAATTACTGAGAGACAATCTTCACTCATTGCTATATTTGCTTTTTGCAACCAACTCTCTGTATAATTTTTCATGAGTGATGTAGTCGAATACTTGGATGCTAATATCTAAATTGTATTCTTAAATTTATTCACCTAAATTTGGGTTATTGCTGATTATGCACTATATGTATCTTATGACTTTTAGAACAAACTTTGTATTTGTGGATGATCTAAGCACTATGCCCAAATGTACAAACACTCTTTTCTTAACCTGTGTACTATATATTTTTTTTTAACACTAGCTTTAATACATTTTTTAAATTTTCAGGTTCCAAACAGGGATGGGAGGGAGGCTGGAAAAAAGCTTTGCCACTGACAGGATATTTTTTTTATCTACATTTCCTGTTGTAAAATTCAATATTTTCTCACGACAAAAACTGATTTTGACATAATTTCACTTTGGGCAAGAAAACTTTATGGTTGTAAAATTTCAACCAGCTCTAGTTTACAGTGATTGCCATTACAAGCTTTAGAAGTGCTATTTGCTGAGAATCAGGAAACCTTTACTAAAAGTGAGCTGTGTTAGACTGAAATAATCTTCTTAGGGAAGAGGTATAAATCCATTCTCTAGAATTATTTAAAATTTGATGGGACAGATTATTTAAGATTATACCGTAGCAGATAATTCTGCACAGGCAGGAGACCGGATGAAGTGGTCTAAAATGAGAACAGCCTGTTCCAGTTCAGGTTTCTTTCTGAAAAATTTGATTCTGAATCAGTTTTGTTGATTTTCTATTTTAACACTCAGTTTTGTGTGTTCTTAATGAGATAATGAAGGTGTTGGGCTATTTCCTGTCTAGTGTTTAATATTCTGTATAGGATACATTTAATCAGATTAGCCATTTAGAATAAAGGGATTAACAGAAAGTATGGTTAATTAAGCAATTGGACAACCTATCCGAATGTGTCAAACTCAGCTGGGCAGTGCATTAATCACTGAAGGACTTATTTACTTCTCACACCTTTGTAAATCAGTAATAACTCCACTGAGGGTACATCTACACTACAGGGGGGAGTCGATTTAAGATACGCAAATTCAGCTACGTGAATAGCGTAGCTGAATTCGGCGTATCGCAGCCGACTTACCCTGTTGTGAGGACGGCGGCAAAATCGACTTCTGCGGCTTCCCGCCGGCGGCTCTTACTACCACCTCCCCTGGTGGAGTAAGAGCGCCGATTCGGGGATCGATTGTCGCGTCCCGACGGGACGCGATAAATCGATCCCCGAGAGGTCGATTTCTACCCGCCGATTCAGGCGGGTAGTATAGACCAGGCCTGAGAGTGATAGAGTTACAGTATTGTAGTCTCGGGCCTTGTCTACACTGCCACTTTACAGCACTGCAACTTTCTCGCTCAGAGGTGTGAAAAAACACACCCCTGAGCGCTGCAAGTTTCAGCGCTGTAAAGTGGCAGTGTAGACAGTGCACCAGCGCTGGGAGCCATGCTCTCAGAGCTGGGATCTATGCCCCTCATGGGGGTGGTTTTTTACAGCAACTACACAGCCACATACAGCAGCGCTGCCACCCTGAGAAGAGAACTAGGCCTTACTGTGTCTTTAAAATTGGTGTATTTTATTTTTATAAAATATCTTAGGGCTAGTTTTTCTAAACCACAAGTACAAAAGGACATATACCCTTTTGCATGTGTCCAAATCCCATTCCATCTCTGCAAGCTGGGATCTGTGCATACACATAGGAATGTGCACATGTGAATCATAATTTGTATATATACATTGAATTTATGGGTGTAGAAGTTGGGCCTGAGAAAATCTGTCTCATAATATGTAAAGTACAGTGTAAAATCATTCCTTGACATATATTTTTAAAGGTACAATTATTTAAAATATATTCAACCAAATCTTCAATCACAGGTGCCTAAGATGCATCTATAAATATGTGCCCATGAGAGCAAACTGATAATTGCAAACACATTTGCTTGTGCAATATCTAGATGTGTGCAAACACATACTTGTGCATGCAAGCACCATACCACTTGCACATGTGATTACCCGTTTCACCAATACAAATCAATTAGTGCTGGAAAGTGTAAGTAGTTGGTAGATGCAAGCATATATTTTTAAAATGTTGGCCTGTTACAGTAAACACCATTCATAATTCGCTGTTATTTTTTTTAATCTTTTCCAGCTGCCATTTGATATTCATCTCCCCTTCTCTCACTGTGTACTCCTCAGGACCCTTCTTCACCTAAGAAATAACCAGGGTTTTCACCTCTTCTCATGACTCCCTCCAGCAGTTCATATTCATTTTCCACTAAAAAATACAATCAAGAGCCTTAAGTAGTTTTCAGGTGGGTTTTCCAATGGAATGTAAACAGAACAGTTGATGTACCCATACAAGGAGTGATGGGAAGAAACTGTAGTTGTGGCAACACTTCAGAGAAGGAGTTAAAAGGCTTTTGAATTTCAAAGCATGCCAGTTCCATGGTCATAGGTTCCCATCCCCCTTGCTGTACATGCAGCTGGATCAGCTGTTGGTTTGTTTTAAATTTCTATTGAAAAACCTAATTTGGAGCTAAGCAGCAGTCGCAGCTTGGGTGTTTCATGAGAAATGCAAGCCAGTCAGTCGAGCTGAGAGAGAACCAGGAGGATCTGTGGTCATGGGGAAGACCCTTGCCTCTGTTCCCAAAGTGACTTGCACAGCTGTTTGCTTTCATGTTCTATTGAACACAAGCAGGAGTTGCTTAATGCTGCTGACTGGGTTTTTCCATTAGAAAATAAAAGTGAACTCCTGAGGAGGACTGCAGAGGAGAAGAGAAACCTGTGCCGTGAGCAGGGAGAGGAGACATAGGCTAGGTCTACACTACCCGCCTGAATCGGCGGGTAGAAATCGACCTCTCGGGGATTGATTTATCGCGTCCCATCGGGACGCGATAAATCAATCCCCGAATCGACGCTCTTACTCCACCAGCGGAGGTGGGAGTAAGCGCCGTTGATAGGAAGCCACAGAGGTCAATTTTGCTGCCGTCCCTACAGCGGGGTAAGTCGGCTGCGATACGTCGAATTCAGCTACGCTATTTGCGTAGCTGAATTTGCGTATCTTAAATCGACCCCCCCCCTGTAGTGAAGACCTGCCCATAGACAGGGCAACAAGGCATAGAAAATGGGAAGGAGAAATAAAGGACATAGTTTAAAATAGGCTTGTGATTTTTAGGCAGTTGCTCTTTTCAGATGTTGTTTGCTATGCATTTGTAGCTTATTTCATTATAAGAATGGGGAGCTGAATAACCTGCTCAATCATTGTGACTGGTTTAACCAATCGTAATCAAGAACTTTTAAAGATAATTTTGTAACCTAGTTTATAGTATGATTTTGCACTGTGGGTAGTCACTCTGCATTCTGATTAAGGATCCTCTAGTTGAGATAGGGTGACCAGATGTCCCAATTTTATAGGGACAGTCCCGATTTTTTGGGTCTTTTTCTTATATAGGCTCCTATTACCCCCCACCCTGTCCTGATTTTTCACATTTGCTGTCTGGTCACCCTAAGATGAGAATATTAAGGATGCATTTTAACAGTATATGAGATTAATATTAACAATATTCTTGCAATCAAACAGTTCTGAAGGCTGTTCTCCATGAGCCACAATAAAAATGAAGGTCTTACTGTCCTGGGAAGGTCTGCCTTTTATGGCTGAAGACCATGTCATGGTGCTGAAAGAGAACCTTCAGTTTGTCATCAGGACTTCTGTGTCCAAGTGCAAAGACTGGCCCCGCTGAGATGTGATGTGAGAGCAAATGGTGTTTCTGTTGATGATTTCCTTTGTGAGCAGCCATATTCTTAAATCTGAATTACTTTTATCTTGGGTTAAGGGAACACAACAGAATGAGTGCACAAAAGCCTCGTGTCTCTGCATCTGAAGTAAGCACAAAATGGCCCTGCCTCCAGCAAATCACAGATTCCTAGGAATGTATTGGTTTAGCCTCCAGAAAACAATATAACATTTACATATGTAGCTCTTTTGCCAGGTGGTGTCAGCAGCAACAAGGGTTGGGATCTGGGGGTTCCCCTTAACATTACAAAATAGAATGAGATTGAGCCCCACCCAGAAATCTGGGGAAACTAAATACCACCACTGCGTGCCTCTAAGAGGCAATACTTCCCCACTCACAAGCACTGAGTCTGTGTATAAGAAAGGAAAACTTTTATTAAAGGGGAATGGAAACACCATGTTAATTTGGGAAAATGTGGCACCAATGATTCAGAAGTGTGCAAACAATAAGTAACCACTGCCCCACAGAACCTTGGGCAGTGTATTCTGCCTCATTTTCCCACCCTGCAGTGTGACAATCCAACAGACAAATGTCTCCTTAAACTTGCCACACCCCTTTTCCTTCTGCTGCACCACACTCACAGCTGGTTGTCCAAAGTCAGTGAAGTCCCTGAATTCAGAGATGAATCCGCATGGGTTCACTTCCCACCCAGTGGCGAATTAATGATTTTGCTGCCCCTAGGCCCTGAAATAATTGCCGCCCCTGGCCCCATATGAACTTGTTTTAGTTTTTTTACAAATTCGTTTGAATTAAAATGAATCTAAATATCATTTTTTTTAAACTGAGAACCGCTTAATTTCTTCCTTCCAGTCATATTATTAATGTTTAGGATTCTTGCGAGTATGTTTACTAAATGGCGTCACGCCGTCATTGGTGGTTTCAATATGTGCTATGATTGGTAGAATCGTGGCGTCACTGATGCCACGATTACAAAAATGCTGCTATTATAAATTTGCCGCCCCTGCAAATTTGCTGCCCTAGGCCTAGGCCTTGTCGGTCTAGGCGATAATACGTCGCTGTTCCCACCCCTGAAAGGTGGGGCAGGCAAGTAACATTGCTGATGCTGCTCACCGCTGCCGCTCTCAGTCATCTCTGTTGTTGCTTGTCACTGTGGCTGCTGCCTTTGCTGCCACTCACTACTGTTGCTTGCCGCTCACCGCCACCTCTGCCTCTAGCTGTGATGTCACTTCCCGAGGTTCCATCACTTAGTCCAGCTCTTAGTGAATTCGCTGGGTAGTGGGGAACCTCGCTGCTGCTGCATCCACTGCATTGTCTTTCACTACAACACGGTCCTCACACCAGGTCTAAGGTTTAGCTCCCTAGACCAGCTTATTAGTGATTTCAGCTGTAGTGATCACTGACCAAAATCAAGGACTCTAAATTGAGTCTGATCAGCTCTGTCTTTAAACACTGGAGGATGAGGGTCAAATCATAGCCAGGACTCTTTAAACAAAGTCCACACCATCAGTTAGGAACAGGGTCGGCTCTAGGTTTTTTGCCACCCCAAGCAAAAAAAAACGGGTGGCCAGAATGCCGCCCCTGGAATTGTGCCTCCCAAAGCACGTGCTTGCTTTGCTGGTGCCTAGAGCCGGTCCTGGTTAGGAACACCTGCCTCGCACTCTCTGACTTTCACTAGGATTTGGCACAACTACATTTCATTACTCCTGCATTCAAGACGAAAATGAATTTTAACCTAAAACAGCTAAGTGGGTTTGTCTGCTGATCACCTAGGCAAAGTAGGCTTGTCTATGCAAATGTAGTCTGCTCCAGAGGTCTTTTCCCCCAGTTCATCAATATTATGGCAGGGCAATGTTCATTCAGAGTCTGGCTTACACATAGCTCCAAATGCCACACTTTCATCTCTTCCATGACTAGAGTTACAAGTTGCAATGCCATCACTTACCAACCTGCATTTTCTATTGCTGCTTCTGCCAGGGTTTAGAGGTGTTTTGCTTCTTCATCTTCCAAGTCAAGTGCCATTCATTATTCGCTGCCTTATATGGGCCTGTGAGAATTACAGATAATCTGATATCAGTTGCTAATATTAAAACTCTAGGAGTGGTGAGTCAGGCCTTGCCTGAGACAATAAAACAAAAGGCTTAAGATGTCCTAAAAATGCCTAATTCTGCTAGTTTAACTCCTCCTTCCTTCACAAACTGCTCCCAGATTTCACTGAAGCCGAGGGACTTGATCGTGCCTTCCCCACTTCGTTCAGGGAACAGAAACAGTACTGTGTGAGACTGTGACCAGATAGTGGGAGAAAATGTGCAGCATGGAGCGCAGTTATGTGCTCACATGGATTTGTCTGTTTAAAAGGCTGGCAGCCAGATTCTGCATTAGATGAAGCTCCCAAGGGTCTTCATGAGTGCTCCTAGGTAGAATATGTTGCAGGATTCTAGTTTGGAGTTCACAAAGTCCTGGCTTTATGGCTGAGCTTAGTTTCTGTGCTTACACGTGGTTTAAATTAAACTCAGTGGTTGCTGAAACTTACTCTAATATGATGTGACTGGCCAGCAATACTAGGGCTAATCCGTGTTAAAACTGCTCCAGTCCAGGCAGAGACACTGCACAGCCTTGCTATGAGCTACCAAAGGGATTGGTTGGTTCCATGCAACATAGCTGTTTGTAAGACACTGCGTCCTCTTTCTCTGGTAAAATCTCTTGGGACCATTCTTCCACCTTCAATCCCCTGAATCCCTTTCTTTCTAGGGATAGTTTGAGGGGATCTGGGGGGGGCATTGCCCCCCAAACTGCAAGCCTCAAGGAGGAGTGAAATTTGTCCCCCGTGCATGACCCCATTGGCCTGGCTAGAGCCGACTTTTCGTGGTGTGTAGTGTATGTTTAGCTATGCACACAGGTAAAAGCAGGCTGTGTCCATGCTGAGGTGTGTAGCTATGCATGTCAGTGAATGGAACTGACAGTGGGGAGGCAGCCAGGAGATGCTTCAGCAGCTTCTTGTTGCCAGAGCCTTTCATTATGGTGTGGCACTCGCTGACCTCTCCTCGCTATCAGAGTCTTTTCCTACAGCGGGGAAAGGCTCTAGCAGCTGGGTGGCCGCAGGACACTACATGGCTAAGAATAGCAGTGTAGATGGGCAGGCATGGCTTGGGTGAATAGAGAGCTGTGTAGGGCAGGAGTAGTCAATAGGCAGACCGTGGGCCAACTCTGGACCTCCACACGCTGTTGAACGGACCCTGAAATATTTTTATTTACTTACTATCATTATTGGGTTTTTTATTATTTTCTCTGGAGTCTGGACCTTTCCTATACATTGACCAAGAAATTTGGACCTTGACAAAAAATAATTGACTATCCCTATTTACCTAAGCCGTGCTTCACTGTCTACACCACTACTTAAACCCCTGCTAGTACATACTCTACACACCACTGAAAGAAGTGTGCAGTGTCAACATAGGCTAGGAGACAGACCCAATTTTATTCACAGCTGGGAGAGGACAGCTCTCGTCCCTCTTTCTCAATAAGCCTATCTGTTTTTCTATAAGTACCTGATCTTCCCCACCAATGTCTGCCTAGTATTGAAAAGTGCAGAATTACTTCCAATAAGCCTCTCTCATTGTGCAGAATCTACACATTGCTTTTGGATCTCTCCATTACAGTACAGTGTGCGGATCTCTGCAGGACATGAGGGACTGGCAAGGAAAGCAGTTCTGCACTTTGCAGTGAAAGCCAGTATGTAGCTGTCAGCTATTCTAGTTCTAAGTTCGGTATAGCTGCATCATGATGTCCTCAATCTTTGGGAGAGCTAATTGGATTACTAATTGAGAATCTATACAGATAAGCAACTTTTGATTCAGAAAATATCAATCTTTTTTGCAGAGGAGCTTCATTTAAGTTGGAAGTTAAAATAGAGGCACTGGGTTGTTGTATCAAAACTAATAAGCAAATCTAAAAGGCTAAAGAGTAGCAAAATAGTTGCCTTGTTGACTACTAGGGAAAAACAACACTTGGAGAGTGATTTTGCTAGAATCCTACTGACATCCTGCTCAGGACACCCCTCTGCCTTACAAGGGGGAGAGCTTTGCTGCTGCTAATCTGTCTGTCAGCTCCCTGAGACACCGGCCTGCCTGTCTGCCCAGCACGCTCTTAAAGACTTTACCAGTCTAAACCATGCCTTGCAGGTAACAATCAATGACTCCCAATGCCCAGATTCCCCAGAGACGTCTCCCTGCAGTGTCAAGTCCCTCTTGTTTGGCACTCACAGAAATTATTACATTCACTGCCTCCAGAGACAGAGCACACTCCAGAATAATGTTAGGTTAGGTGAAGACTCATACTTTACTTTAATACACAACACTGAGAATGCGTTTGTTAAAAAACAATCAGTTTATTAACAAAGAACAGAGATTTAAGTTATACTAAGAAAGAGACAGGTATAGTTACAAACAAAACAAAATAAACCACACTTTCTAGAGACTAAAACTTAATCTCAACAAGTTACAATCTTTGCATAAGCAGTTTTCTTACTCACAATCAAGTTACCAGCATCTCTAGCTGAGGGACCCAGCGTTGGCAGAATCAAAGTGTGCTGTTCCCTTTATTCTGTAAGTGATACATAACTACAATGTCTTTTTGCTCCCCTAACATTACCCCAAGATCCCTTGTCTTTGCCTCAAGAGCCAGGAAGGATTCCTGGGCTGCAGACTTTGTCTCCCTGGTGTGTTTACTAAGCTATGGTTAAAAGTAACAGAGGGTCCTGTGGCACCTTTAAGACTAACAGAAGTATTGGGAGCATAAGCTTTCGTGGGTAAGAACCAAGTCTAAGTTATGGTTGTTTGCTTTGTTTACTGTATATGCAGATGCACTTCCATTGTATTTTGCCAGTAATCAAACTGGTCAGACACATTCCTTTGTCCAGGGCAGGCTGGGTTTATGCACTGCCTCCCAAACACGTTTTAAGAACACATTTTCCGCACACATATATAACTCTTTGTACACAACCCGTGTATACATTACACAATGATTTTTGGGACCATTGTATCCTCAGTTTACATACGATACCTCACGTGATACCTTTTAAATACATATTATGACAACAGTGTGTTGGAGGTAATCAATGTGAGTTTCAGTATGGTGGGCTCTCTGCCAGTTAGCATTCCCAGGGGTCACACCTACTTTGAAAGGATTATCTGAAAGTTCACAGGTGCAATGGCAGAGCACAGCTAATGTTTTAAATTTGCAGTGCCGTTCAGTCCACGATGGATAGTAAAATGCAGCAATTGGTAGTATTCTTTATGGAAAGTTTTCTAAAGTTGGTAAAGCTGCTACTGTAACTCTTAAAACTACTGCAGCTCATTTATTGCTGTTTGATGTAACTGGATAATGAGTGTAGTTTTATGATCTCAGATGTTTTCTTATCAGGCTGCCACTATGTTTTAGCAATTTTGCTCTTTCTGTAAAAGCTTTTTAGTTGTTTTTCCTCCTGCACTTGGCATTTCAGTATTATCTTTTTTTAAAAAGAACTTTCATCACAGAAAAAAGCCTATTTCAACTTATCTATTAGGAGATGAAAAGTCAAATGCAAACTGGGCTGAAATGCGGAGAGCTTTTGAGGGGTTGTATCATGCAAAACATGCATAAATATCACAAACTTCACAAATATTTTATTACTTTAAAAAAATCCAAATTCCCTCCCTCACAAGAGTCTTCCCGGGGTAGATTAAGGGAAAGATTAAATATGTAAGGGAAAGATTCCATTAATTTTTCTAGTTGGAAACAACTGCCATACCCCCATTATTCGTAGTTTGTGATGGTAGATAGGGCACAAATACTCATTTATATGCAGTTCTGTGCTGTATGATTCATGCTAATTTATATTTCTGTAATTTGCTCATATTATATGAAGCTCTTGGAACAGAGATACAGTTAATATAATTATGCCAACAGCAATACATATAGGGCCAAATTCTTCCTTGGTCTGATCCCTGGGTTCTTCCTATCCAACAATTGCTGGGGGTCAAACTAATTTGCATCCAGGCTGCCAAGTCCCCTGTGGGCATTGTGGCAGCTGTTACATAGCTGGGGCATAGGAATGCCTTTGCTACACTTCTTCCTGTACCTGTCCCACCCTCAACATGTCCCTGGTAAGCCCCCTGCATTGTGGGATCTTTCTTGTGGATGATAGAACTGGTGGAGCTGTCTCTGTGGCTGCCAGGGAGGATCCCAATACCAGGGCTATTTCCCGAGGATGGATCTAATGACAGCTTTGCAGCCACTTTACATTGTCACCAGTGATATGAGCCCTTAGTGCCCATTGGACAACCCTTTCTCATGTTGGTGAGCTCTAGGGTGACCAGTCAGCAAATTTGAAAGAAGCTCTCATGCGCAGTCTTATTGACTTCACTGGGATTCACCAAGGGCAAGTCATGCCTGACAAACATGATTGCCTTCTATGATGAGATAACTGGCTCTGCAGATATGGGGAAAGCAGTGAATGTGATACATCTTGACTTTAGCAAAGCTTTTGATACGGTCTCCCACAGTATTCTTGCCAGCAAGTTAAAAAAGTATGGATTGGATGAATGGACTATAAGGTGGATAGAAATCTGGCTAGATCGTCAGGCTCAATTGGTAGTGATCAACGGCTCGATGTCTAGTTGGCAGCTGGCATCAAGCGGAGTGCCCCAGGGGTCAGTCCTGGGGCCGGTTTTGTTCAACATCTTCATTAATGATCTGGATGATGGGATAGTTTGCACCCTCAGCAAGTTCGCGGATGACACTAAGCTGGGAGGAGTGGTAGATACATTGAAGGAGTGGTAGATACATCAGGAGGGTTGAATAGCTCAGTGGCTTGAGCATTGGCTTCCTAAACCCAGGATTGTAAGTTCAATCCTTGAGGGGGCCACTTAGGGGTCTGGGGCAAAATCAGTACTTGGTCCTGCTAGTGGAGGCAGCAGGCTGGACTCAATGACCTTTCAAGGTCCCTTCCAGTTCTAGGCAATAAGATATCTCCGTTAATTTTCTTTTCTTTTCTTTTCTTTTCTTTTC